ATATGAATAATCCCCATTATGTCATCTCACTCTAACTCAGCAATATGAAAAAACGGATATAAGCAAAGCTTTTCAAGTGTAAGGAGTCAAGGAGCAGAATCATTCAATTGCAGAGAAGGAACCAATCATATGGCATGATGAAAACATTCTTTTAACCGTTTCAACAAAGTGCATTAGCATATAAGACAGTGTTGGCAACAGAAAGAGAAAGATCAGACATACATCAAGATTAGATTGAAGTTCAGCATTGGCTTCTGGAGCCGGTATAGCTCTAGCAGTACGTTCGCGTGTCCTTGTCCTCCTCGTACCATCTCCATGGGCTTTGCTAGCAGCTCTTAATCTGCACAACATTACAAAAGAAAATGCTGATGGTGTTATGCTGAGTTATCAAGACCAAAGGCCTGAATGATTGCATGCTAAAGACTTCCACTATTTGAAAGAAACATATCATGGCAATATATTTATATAAGAAACTTAGAACTGTGTGAATAAGTTGGTGCCAAAGAGTTGGCCATAATCCCCTTGTTCCAACACCCAATAGTTATTCAAGAGAATTTAATAATAATCTTAGTTGATATTTCGATTAAAATATCTTGGCCCGCATGGAAAAGTTAGACATAGATAATCATAATCGTATCTGCATGCACAAAAAATTTTAGTCGATTGTTGAGGAAGACCAGGTAACAAAAGATACACGAAGAAGAATAACTCACCGTCGAGCTTCATCATCTCTTCGTTTAGCATCCATTTCTTTACTCGGGGGATATTTTGGAAGACTAGAAGGTTCACAAGCATAAGGTTCTGTCATAAAGAACTACAAGAGATGGCAAAACAACAATAGAAATGGAAGATTTAGGTACATAAAGAAATAAACTAATCTTTCTAAAAGTCATTGGATATAAGAGAAAATATATCAAATTTTAACAATATTTCATGATTAATATGACAACTAGATTAAAATTACAAATTGGAAAATATGGGTCAACAACCAGGAATCATGAACTATTGATGTTATCTAAATGTAAGTTCAAAGAAGTAGAAGGAAACCATGTTGTCATCAACCAAGAAAGAAGCAGAAGACATGGATCTTTTATTCTTTGATTGACAACAAATATATATATATATATGCACATATGCTTGAAGAAAGTTGCAAATAAGACAAGAATTCAAGATTCCAAAAATTTCTCTTGATCAACGAAAAGGTTTCATTTTACCTAAAGTCTACAACCATCTGTCTTTTATAGACAAAATAGACCCTCAACTAGATCAAAATATCTTCTGTGCTATATATCTATTCCACCACCAAAAGACTGAAAGTGAACCCCAAAGCTAACACCTTTTTGACTTCCTTAGAAGTCCTAATGCCTGCCAAATCACACCTCAGCAGGCCTTCCAAACCAGGTACAGTATAGTCATTTCCCATACATGCCTCGATTCATGAAGTAAAATCTTTTAATGTGCAACTATCATACTTGAAATAAACCACCAAAGCATGCAAAATAATAGCTCTTCAGAAAAGATAAACTAGAGTCAACTGCAATTCATTGTCATGATGCTTATTTTAAGGTGATGCATCAGTTTAAGGGAAAGATGCACTTCTTTCTTTCATTTTTTTCCAATAGAAAACAACGGTGCATTTCTCAGGCCAATTAGTTGGTTTTAGAAGTTTCATCTATTGGGCCAGTCAGATGAATTTGGTTTCTTTAACATTTTTTAGCATAATTCCGAAGCCCGGCAAATATTTTTAGTTATTTCATCATACATTCTCGTTGATCTCACACAAAGAAAAAATGGAGAAGCTATATCATCAATATTTTAAATAACCCTTCTAAAACACTATTGCAGATATCTATCAACTCACTTCACTTCTTAATGCAGCTGTTGCAGTCTGGCGTTCTGCTGGATCAATTGCAAGAAGAGTTTCGATGAGGGGCAGTGATGAAGGTGGAAAATCCTTAAATGTCTCTTTTATACATCTTCTGTACGGCTCACGGGGCTTGAACAAAGTTGCATTTGGTAATCTTGACTTTTTCCAGTATTCATCTGAAGGTGAACCACATAGCTTGTATATCTTATGTAGTTGCTCTACCTAGGTGACAAAAAGAACAATTGTTAGTAGCAGCCTACAATGAATGATTGCATAATACGTTCAACAAGATGCACAAAATGAAAAATGATACACCAGCCAAAGACATACTATGTGGCTATTCAAAATTACAGACCATGAAAACGAAAGAAAAGCTAACAAAACTAAATTACATGCCTAATTCAATATATTAGAGCAAAGATCAATAGCGACCCACAAGTATCAGACAAAAGCCAAGCTATCCAACAAGGTGACCCATGTCAGGCCCACATCAGAAGGTTTCTCCTAGCGCACTAAAAGCCATGGACTTGCCAATATAAAATAACCACCCAATTTTTTCTTCATCAACATGTGAAAAAGAATCTAAACTAATAAGATCATAATCTACTAAATAAATAAGGACACAAGCTAACAAAACAGTGAGATTTTTCCCACTAATAAAAGAACTTTTTTTTACGAATTTTTGTGTTTGACAGGAAGATGGTTCCCAACAATTATATGAAAGGACAAGAGATCTGTGAGGTTTCCTTTAAAGTTACAAGTTATAACCCCCACCCGGCTAAGCATCCTAGGGTTAGGAATAGATCTTTCTATAAGTACATGGTTCTTTAGGTCAGATCTTTCTATAAATATCTGGCAAAGCATGATAACACTGGTACCAGATTTCCTTATGGACAAATCTGGAAAGTCAAAGCCTCTAATGGAGTTGCGTTCTTCGCCTGGGAGGCAAAGAGGGAGTGCAATACTGACTACTGACAAATTGATGAGAATGAGAAAGATTATGGTGAACAGTTGCTATCTGTGGAAAAGAGATACAGAGACTTGTATTCATATTCTTCTGTGATGTCTGGTCGTGTACAAATTATGCACTATAGTTTATAGGTTGTTGGGGATCAATTGGGTGATGGCTGCATCGGTAAGAGATGAGATCTGGGCGTGGAAGTGTATTAGTGGTCAAAAGTAACATGTGGACCTCATCCTTCTCACTATATTTTAGGTGGTTTGGAAAGAGAGAAATAGAAGAATTCTTGAGGGGGTAGATTAAGATTTTGATAGGGTTAGAATAGATGGTTCCATACTCTCGATTTTGTTATTTTGGGTTATCCTCTCTGTTCAATTGAGGATTTTTGGGACCTTATTGACATCTTCCTTTGATATGTAAATAATTTGTCCACTGGTTGATACCCCCTTGGTGCCTTTGAATTAGTGGTACATAATACACTTTTTATTTAAAAACAAAAAGTTATAATCCCCATAAGCAGCATAGTTCAATCAGTAATATTTTTTCTTTGACATACACCACCTTCTGAATTATCAATCTACACCGTGAAAAATGTCCAAAAGATTGACGACAGCCAATGAATTATAGCATTAATACCAAAGGAGTTGTAACACTCCAGAGCCTGTACTAGACTAAGTGCAAAATGACATGACAAGAATTTGTATAAATAACATTATAGTTAAACTTTAATCTTGAATTAGTTCCTAGTTAGTAAATGCTCCAGGAAGATAGCTTTTTCATTTTAATAGAAAGAATAGTTCTATCTTCAGTACTTATAGAATTTTAAGCTTTCTCCTTTGGAAAAAGCATGCATGTCTCTAAACCTTGTCCCAGTATTTAGAATTATCCTATTCGTCTTAATGGTTCTCAAATGTCGTACGTTTTTTATTTCATAAATCACATAAAAGCAATACAATATGCTAAAAGTATTACCATATTCAAGAAATGCTACGATCAACAGGAAAATGAGAATGGATGACTAAATTAAGTAGAAATAGGTCGAACCCCGTGAGATTGGATCTTGTTATGGGTCATTGGAGGATAAGATCCAAAGAGTTACTAGTTCTTTGAGAGATTTTCCCTTTTCTACCTACAGTTGATAGTTAAGTACTCACTAGGGAAAACCCTTGAATCTCCTTAAAAAATTAGAAAAAAATTTCTGGAAAATTTTTCTATTCAGTCAAACCATGTTGGGCATATATACCAGAATACAAGACCCTAAAAGCCAATTATTCCTTAGACAGTTATCTCAAAAAAAATTATTCCTCAGACAGAAATAACTGGCTACTAACCAGCCAAATTACATCACTTTTGTCCTAATTTTTTGTATCCTTATTTTTTTTAAAAAATAAAGTATAAGATTTGTTTTGATTAAGGGTGCCAAGAGGGTACCACCCGTATACAAAAGATTTACAAATCTGATTTTTTGTACCTTTATTATGTAGAAAACCACCCAGAAGCCGCTAATAGATTAAATGCTCCTCATTTAAGTACCTCAAATATTAAAATAATTAACAATCATGGACAAAACCACTAACTACAGAATGGCTGCTTTCTATGCAAAACTGAAGCGGAGTCGTGTAATCACATTCTTATGTGGTGCCTGGTAGTCTATACTTTATGAATTATGGTCTATGGTTTGTTAGGTATTAGCTTAGTCATTGTGGGTTCCGTGAGGGATGAATTATGGGCATGGGAGGAAATTAGTAAGGGGAGGAAAATTGTAAATCGTATACCACTAACTATGTTTTGGATAGTATGGAAAGAAAGAAATCACAGAGCTTTTGAGAGGATTGAAGGGAGTAGGGATAAATAGTTATATAATATGGGATCTTTGATTTCAAGACATGATATAAATAGGATGGAGGGTTTTGGGAATGTTATAAATATACTTACTGACTTGTGAATATTTTTGTACATGGGTGGCATCCTCTTGGTGCTAATAATTTAATATACATGTTATACTTTTTATTTAAAAAAAAAACAATCAAGGACAAACCCCTACAAAGAGAATCTGCTAGGCTAATTCTCTGAATTCTTCTTTTGCACCGATGGACCAGCCCAAATTGCCCCTTGGTGAACAACATAACATCTATTGCTAATAAATATTACAGCCATGTTCAAGGAACCGAAAGTAAGCATGTAAGTGAAAGAACCACCAGGCATCTATCTGGACAAAGACATTTCTGTTGTCAGTCTCTCAGATTTTGTAATAAAATTTACCGGATGCTATATGCACATCATTATTAGTATTTGAATAGTGTTAGAACTTTCTTGGCAGAAAAATAAGCCTAATGTTCACTTAGACTTTCTATACCCTCCCCAATTTTTATGACAGAACCTTCAGTAAAAACTTCACAGAGCTAACTCCTCTGATATAGAAAAGTGATACGATACAGAATTAAAGTATGTTGACCACATAGCAAATGAATAACAGAAGAGTACATCAGAAAGCAAATAAAGTAAGAATGCTTTTGAAACCAAAATTTAGAAAGTTTACTAGTTACCTCTGTACGACCAGGCATGATTGGCCTTCCAGCCAAGAGCTCAGCTAAAATACAGCCTGCACTCCAAAGATCAATGCCTACACCATAATCAGTAGCCCCGAGAAGTAGCTCTGGGGCTCGATACCATAGAGTAACCACCCGACTTGTCATGTGATGCTTGTTGTTTGGATCAAAGAATGTTGCCAGCCCAAAATCAGCAATCTTAAGTACTCCCCCATCATCAATAAGAAGGTTTGACCCTTTAATGTCACGGTGAAGAACACCACGTTTGTGACAGTGCTCAAGCCCAGACAAAAGTTGATGCATGTAACATTTAACCTGCAGAACAAGTGTACATTGACGTTAAAATCCAAACAGAATGCAGAACAAAATCATCTCTGCAGAGTTATACTCTAATTTTGAACTACAACATGAACTAAATTTACCTGTGGCTCTGTGAACTTGACTGCCGGACTTGCAGCAAGTCCGGCCAAATCATGCTCCATGTACTGAAATACGAGATACAAACTACAGGACATCCTTGAAGTAACCAAACCTTCCAACTTCACAACATTGGGATGGTCCAATGTCCTCAATATGAGAATCTCTCTAGCCATAAATTTCACACTCTCCGGTTCCAAATTGTCAAATCGAACCTTCTTCAATGCAACAATTTTACCTGTTAACATATCTTTGGCTTTATACACATTGCTATACGTTCCTTGCCCAATCTATCAATAGAAGAGGGAAATAGAAAAACAAAAAGAGGATAATTAGATAATTGTCAAAACTTAAAAGACAAACATGAATTAATGAAATGAAGCAGAAGAGCTAGGTCGAAAATCATAATACTCAAATCTCAACCAGAGACCAACTACAACAACCTCTAATTTCAAACAGAAAATAAAAACTAATAATAAATAAACAGCCCTTTGATATTGCTCTTATTGACATCATTGATACTTCAGTCAAAATTACCATACTTAACCAGAAATTCATGAACAATCTAAAATAACATGATAATTTTTTAATTCATTTCAAACAAACTACATTTCTATGCCATTTCATCCCCAGATATTCAACTATCAAGCATCTTGGAATTAAATGATTTATTTAACAAAACGAGATCACTCACCTTATCAATCTTCTCAAAGGTGTCCGCCCTCCGTGGAAGCCAGCCATTGAGAGCTTCCCCACACACATCTGACAACCAAGACGGCCACCCGGCTGCTACCTGCTCTCCACGCGAATGCTTTGGCAGACTGCCCAACCTTGGATTTGGCCTCGACCTTCTTCTTTCCCCCCTTGTTTTTCTGTCCCCATCAGCCTTCTCCTCCTTATGGGTCTCCTCATTTTGAATCTCTACATTACTAGTATCAACCTTTGCCACTGAAACATTGTCTACTTTCCTGTTAGATTCAACCCTCAAGTGTTTTGCCTCTTTGGACTCAGACACTACGCCTGAGGATACCTCTCGTCCCAATACACACCCCATTTCTTTAACCTAAGCCTCATTTCTCAACATATTCTATGCAAGTCTCTCATGTAACAGCTTTTCAATCAGCATCTGGTCAATACAAATCAAACAAAAACTTAAGCGTAAAGGACTAGAAGAACCAACAGATACAATTTCCAATTATGTCATACCAAAACTGAGCAATCCAAATGCAGAAAGATTGAAATATAAGAAAACCCAGTTGCCAAAGCAAGTAAACATGCAAATAAAAGCCAGGAAAAGAAAAACCTACTTTTATTTCTAGTGCCAAACATAAATTTCACAGCCTGAATGATCAGAACTCACTCTTTTAATTAAACTAAATAAAACGAGCTGCAAATCACAAAAACCCATCTACCCATCTCCATAACAGCAACCGCCAAGCTCTATAGAAATCGAAAAGAATGATCCAAAAGAATATGAATACACAAATATACAAGCAGAAGGAAAGAGTCAAATGAAGAAGATGGGATTCAAAGCTTTTTGTTTAATATGAATTTTAGAAGTCAAAAAAATCGATCTAAAAGTAGAAAAAGAGAGTTATTGGTGAGAGAGAAAGTGAGATAGTGATGTGTAAGTAATAAAATTTCAACACAGACGAACGCAGAGAAAGAGAGAGAGAGAAAAAAAATAAAGAGAGAGAGAGAGAGAGACTTACTTTGAATCTGAGAGCAAACAAAAGAGAATTTGTTGAACCATTTCTCTTGGCGTAAGGTGTTGGTCCACTATCTGTTGGTCCTGTTGCTCCTTCTTCTTCTTCTTCCCTTTTCTTTAATTTATTTGTATTTTTATTTTATATACTTCCTGGCTGGTTCTCCTTCAGACAAGAAAAAGGAATAAATGAGAGCAGAACAGATCTCTTCGCTGTTATATGCCACAGGTCAAACTACCCACAGCTCTCCCCCAACTTCTCCCTAACCTATATTTATATATACATACACATATTTGTATTTGGATATGGAATTTCAGCTTCCTTCCAAAGAAAATTAATGGGTACTTTTCCTTTCTGGTTTCTTTTTTACTTCAAACAAAAACAAAGTGCAAATTACTAGTCAGCTTAATGATAAATCATGAGAACAGGAACTTCACCAGAAAAAAAAAAAAAAAAAACAAACAAAGCTAAAGATCTTAACTTTAAGGCTTTACCACTTCTCTTTTCTTATAATTTTATATGTAAGCACTTGTAAAATCAAAATCAAAGTTATTTACTACCTTTTCTCTGTTTTAGCCAAAAAAAAAAAAAGTAATTACTTGAACTACGAACTACAAACTACAAAGATAAAGTCTCTTCCTTTCTCATTGGTATTTTATAATTTTTGAGTAATTCATAATTTTATCCTTATAATTTAGACTTATTCGAGTTCTAACTACTAAATATATTTTTTTTAACATTTTCACCCCTTATTTTTTTAATAATTACGCATTAATTTTTAAGATATTATCTTAATTTCTTCTTTTAAAAAAATTGTTTAAATTTATAAAAAAATTAATATAAAATTATAAAAATATTATTAACGCCGATATTATTCCAATATTCTTAAATCATATTTAAATATTATCATTCAACTTAACGTCATACGAAAATACGATAGTATTAAAAAGTAAATTAATAATAATAAAATCAGTCATATAATTATCATATTAAATATACTTTTAAAATTTAATGATTACATGTATTTTTTATCACACGAATATCTGTTTAATAGTATTAAACACGTTGTTAATAATAAATATTTATTCAGATAAAATTTAAAAATATAAATTTTATTTAAATTTAAAAATAATAAAAAGTCGAACTTTAACATTTTTAAATAATAGAAAGATTTTTTTTTTTTAATGTAAATTCCCATTTGTAATATAAAACTAATACAAATATGTTTGAAATACATGAATTATATATATATATATATACACACACACACTATGAAGTAATATAAAAAAACAAGAAATTCTTGAACAAAATAGATAATGACATATAAACTATAATATTTTTTGCTCAATATATATTTTTTTAAATATGATTATTATTATTATTATTATTAATTGGAGTGTGTTGACCAAGTGAAGGTAAAAAGGTTAGACAACAGTGATGAATGCTGGTTTTGCAAGGAACAAATACTTATGAAACAAACATTATTATATGCAATTTGGAAACATATCTAATTTCTTTTAATTATTTGATACCTACCCATTTTGTATCTCTCTCTCTCTCTCTCTGTATATATATATATATATATATATATAAACCATACTTTTCATATATATATATATATGTATGTATGTATGTATGTATGTGGTTTGTGGGGGATTTTAGATTTGCAAAGTCATTATATTTTTGGATGTAGAGTACATTGGATTCCAAGAAATGTATACAACTACCGATTTCCAAAGTCAGATCGTGACAACACCTCCGAAGGGTCTTCCATCTGTTTAACCCCACTTAACAATAAACTTTTAAAACAAATTTCTTCACATTTCTCCATAACCACTATATGTATATATATATATACACACACACACACACACACCCCCACATATATATATATATATATACATCCTATGAAATATAGATTTGATGTTTTTGTGAACAAAATCCAACCTCTTAAGAGATTATACAGACAGTAGGTTTTTCTTAAATGCATACAGGTAGGAAGATGATCACTCCCAAGACAAAGCAGATCTCAGAATTTGACTTTGATCCTAGAACTGGTTTGAGTCCCCCAATATTTATATATATATTGCACTGAAGATATAAAAAAATATAATTCGAAAACTTATATAATCATATATTTATTTGCACTAGATGTATAAAAGAATACACTAAGTATTTTTTATATTGATATTCGAAGACTTATATAATTCCATAACAATGATATATCTATTACATTAAAAGTATAAAAGAATGCAATAAATATTCTTTATATTGAAATCCGAAACTTTATATAATTCTGTGATAATGATATATCTATTGTACTGAAAATATAAAAGAATGCACTAAATATTCTTTATATTAAGATCCAAAAACTTATATAATCCTGTAACAATTATATATATCTAGAATATTGCCTGAATTTCTACTAGTCGAAATAAACACGAATATCTAAATAAGTTTTAAAAGAAAAAGTTCAAGAGTTACCCAGAATGTTGTGTTACCAACACCTTAATTCAACTTCCTCTTCTGAATAAAAATGTTTGGTGTCCATTCAAAAATTAGAAATTACAAAAGGAATCAACTCAATAGAACCAGTAGGATAAGGCTAAAATGTGATCAAAGAGACACCAAATTTTACATGAAGAAAGCATTGAGTCATGGTCTAAAGTTAAAACAAAACTGGTTGGATCTTTGCAGAATTTTCTCATTCCTTGTTTTTCTTCTTCTTTTTATCTTTCTTCTCGCTTGGTCTTTCGGAATTTTCTTCATTTACTTCCTCTCGTTTTCTCTTCTTCTTTTCTTTTACTTCAACTGCCTCGTTATCCTCCGTGTGCTTTTTCTTCTTTTTCTTTTCTTTCGTTCCCGGCTGTTCAGCTTCTGGTTCGGCACTAACATTTCCACCATTGGCTTCTTTATCTGCTTTCTCTTTCTTCTTCTTTTTCTCTTTCTTCTTCTCTTCACCTTCTTGTGCTCCATCATTTGTTGGAAGATCTATTTCCATCTGTTTCTTCTCTTTTTCCTCGACCCCGTTAGTGCCATTTGTAAGTTTTCGTATAAGAGAATCTGCTGAAGGATTATAAGTCTGAAAAGAGGAATACAATCAGCGATCACGAACACACATTGAGAGACCTTAGGAGAAATGTGAAATTTGTGAAACATATAGCAGACCTTAGCAGGGGTTATCAACCCACTGGCCCCTTTCTTCCTATCCTTATCATATACTTCAATCTTAGGTTTGCCTTTAGCCGATCCAGCAGAACGTCCTAGTTCAGCTCCTTCAATATTCCTTAACCTTGCCTCAAGCTACAGACACAGATATAATACGATAATTGCAATATTATTTTTCTGCCAAATGAAAAATTAAATTGACATGAGGGAGAGCAATAAGTGCATGATACCTTGAGTCTACTTTCCAATCCTATACTGTTATCTTTGCCATCTCCAAGAGCATCACATCTGATTGCCAATGCAGATTTTGCAGCAAGTGAACGAGAAATTTTTCCCTTGTGCTTTGGTGCTGCTTGACCTACCAGGGAAGCATGGTAAATAAGCCCATATTTCGGAGTAGCATGCTTTGTTTTAAGAGCTCTAAAGAGAGCCTTCTCTGCCCCAAGAATCTGAACCGTGCTCCCAGGTTGCTTTGCAAGATTCAACAAACTACCACCATGGGCAATAAGGCGAGCACCAACAAGCTCCCCAACAAGGGCAGTCAAATTTGGAGCAACAGTGTTCATCCTGCTTTTTAAATAATCATATAGCTGTGCTCTGTATTCAGAAAGAGACAGAACCTGATCACATAGTTCTCTGATATTAATCAAATCAAGGTCACTAACTTCAGTTCCCATAGATATAACAGCTGCTTCCTTCAACTCTGCCTCAACTTCAGCTGATAAGATCTGCGAGGTTTAGTGCATAAAATATAAAAGGAACGTTATTGAGTGTTACATACACCTTATCATCTCCAACTTCTGAAAAATAAGAATATCATAAACATTGAGATCATTGTTTAACATGCTGTGGTGTGAGAATTTATTGATGTTTCACTTAAATCTGATGCTGATAAATGCCCAGAGAACCCTCAGACAAATATGCCAGTTCAGGTGAAACCACTAACAATCATGGGAGTTTATTATTATTATTATATTATTGTTATTACTATTATTATTAATTTCTTTGTTTCACTTGTTGATGTCCAAACCTAATCCCTGGCAGTCTTTCCAACATTTACTATCTCATAGAGTGAAGCCATAATAATTCAACCCGAATCAGATCATTACCTCAGAGAAATCAAGATTTGCAGCATTAACACGGTCACCCATCAGCTTTACTGCCTTAGCATATAGGATGTTGTCTTGCACAATCTTAGCAAGCTCTGGAAAATGCCAACCGTACCATTCTCGAACCCTCATTGCATAAGTATTGAGTTCTTTATCAAGATCATCAAGCAAACCAATTGCCTGGATGATCATTGTATCAACCTTGAAACCACGTTAAGAAACTGCATAAGTAAAATCACCTTCAAAAGTTTTAACTTTAAAAAGAAATTCAGGCAATTAGAATAATGAACTTAGTCAAAACACAAATCTCCATGTTCTCCTGAAAGCTGATCTTCATAATTAATTAACCAAAGGACATACCTAGGATGGTTCCAACTATTTAGTTTTTCACCATGAAAGATGAATTTCTTCGCTGAATCGCAAAATAAATACTTGACAGCACCCGTCAATATGGACCAGAGGGATAGAATATATCATGAGGCATCATAAACAGATGAGGAAAGGACTATTATTATCCTCTAACAACATGCATTTAAGACAATAAGGGGAGTGAAAGATTTAAAAAAGATCAACCAGAACTGTATATCATATATCTTCGACTCCATAGCTTGCAAAACATTTGTAAAGAGAATACCTTCTCAGCACTGAACTTCAGCTTGTATCTAGATAAGCTATGAGATAAACCCAAGCTCATTGGAGCCAGATCTTGTACAGGTAGACCAGATATGAGTTCTGTCAATTGGCTTCTCACACCTCTCATCAATTCCATAACGGCATTGTTATGAATACATTCTATTTTCTGCAAGATGATAGGTATACTCCAACTTAAATGAAACAACCTAAATGACCAAATAAAACAATAAAAATTTGTTCCGAGTAAGCCACTACAAACCAGCTTCTCTTTAATTGCATTTCCAAGTTTTGAATCTGCCACAGCCAATGTTTCACCTTCACAATGAGCACGTAAGAATTTTCGCAGGCCTTTGGTGGGTGCACTTTCAATCAATTTTGATGCTGCTTCTAATGCTTCTGCAGTATTCTCAAACTTTGAAAAAGCTTTCAGCTTCACCACCTGATGTGAATACCAAATCAATTATCTTCTTATCTTTAGACAATAACAAAAATTTCAAAAGCAAACTAAGAAACCTTTTGAACTTCCCGATGTATAAGACAACACATATGTTAACACAACAAGCAGTACAGCCCAGTCAAATATATTTAAGTCATGTTATATAAATAAAAGTTCAGCACTTTTCTTCCGCACAGGATAAATCATAGATTATTCTTCAAGTGACAACAGAAAATGAGAATATAAGCAACAGCAAACAAAGGGAAGGAAAGAAAAATAACCTGTCTAGCTGAGTCTGCAGAAGAGAAGTCCTTCCATAAGTCCTGTAAGATAACAAAGAATATTAAGGAACCAAAGAAAATTACTGAAACAAGGGGGAAACAGTCACCTGTCAGCTCCCCTTAATTGCATACTACTCTAGAAAGACAAAAAAGAAAACAAACTTTTTGCTTACAGAAAGTCATTGAGAGGCACAAATCACAACCCATAACTCATAAAGCCTAATAATTTCATTTTTCTCATTTTTACTTCAAATTTCTCTCAGCAGAAAACCAGGGAGAATAAGCAACTTCAAGACAATAATTACCTCAGTTTTAGAGAGCTTCCCTTCATCCAATACTTTGAAAAGCGCAAACCCAGCTGGGGTCTCAAACAAGAGAATCATTCTTCAATCTCCTAAAGCAGAAACGTGAAAAGGAAAAAAAAAAAAAAAAAAGAGTAAGCAAAGTGTCTTCAAATTATCAGTTAACCATGGCAGAAATGCTTCCCCCCCACCTAAATTAGCTTCCTATAACGATAGATGTAACAACCATTTTCAATAACCCTACACAAAATCTCGGAGCGTCTCTGCAACAACAATGTGATAAACAAACACAGAAAAAAAGAAAAGAAAAAAATTCTGGGTAAGAGTTAATCAGAGGATTAGCCCTATTTTTGAAATATATAGGACTAGCCCTATACAACCACATTGTGATTTATATCACTTCCGTACCTTATTCAGTTACCCATTACGGCAATGCTCATAAACTAACACAAGACTACATTAGAGAGACGGGGAGGAGACTTCTTAAAGTTTGATTACAGAAGCTCCACTTCCATACCTGTGCTATGTTTTTGCAGGAGTGGGAAGGGAGGAGAAAAAAGAGAAACAGTGAGGGTTTAGGGTTTTAAAGCAGAGCTGCGTTTTATTGAACATTGGCATATTTGGAATTTTGTATAATTAGGGTTCTTACAGTAATAATCAAAAGGACATTATTGAAATTTCATTTCTCTCTTTCCCTCCATATTTAATTTCTACTACTTACTCAGTTTTATTTACAAGATAAATTACTCTAAAATTTATATGAAAAAAAAATTAGGAGCTTATAGAAGTAGAAAAAAAAAAAAATCCATTAACGTTCTACAACTCTGTTCAAAAATAAATAATGTAAATCTAAAATATAAAACATAGCTTCATAGATAATTTCGAAAAAAAATGCATTTTTGTTTTATAATTTGACAAAAGATCCAAATTCCATGATAACATATTTCTCATCTGAGCTCAGGAACAAGGGAGGTAAAACACTTTGCTTCCTGGTAAACATACATATCCTCATCTGAATAACAAGTCATGCAATCACATCCACAAAGAAGAAAAAAGAAATACAGCGTTGAAACTGACTTAATATTCTGCACTAGATGTAATTTTACATTGAGAAGGACAGTGATATTGCTAATTGTCCAAAATTGTGTGTAGCAGCCATCAATGGCAGCTTTCTGAAAATTTTTCTCAATCCCCACCTTTCTTCTTCTTCTTCTTTTTGTCTTTCTTCTTGCTCGGCATCTCGGGCTCCTCTTCGTCTTGCTCTTCGTGCTTTCTCTTTTTCTTTTTCTTCTCTCCTGCTTCAACAGCTTCACCATTGTTTTGTGCTTCATTATCCTCAGCATGCTTTCTCTTCTTTTTCTTTTCTTTTGTTGCTGGCTCTTCCTCCAAGGGTTCAGCAATGGCATTTGTATCAGCAGCCTCTTCACCAGTTTTCTTCTTCTTTTTCTTCTCCTTCTTCTCTTTACCAGTCACAGTCTCCTCTGGTTGAGAAGGATCTGTTTCAGTCTTTCTCTTATTTTCTTTCTCATCTGCAGCAGCTGCTAATTTTCCAATAAGGGAGTCTGCAGCAGGATTATATGTCTGCAACATGCCAAAGGAGTTTTGACAATCATTAGAATCAGATTGGAAAGATTACAGAAAACATAATGTGTTTATACAAGGCAGACCTTGGCAGCGGTTATTAATCCCCCAGTTCCCTTCTTTCGATCCTTGTCATACACTTCTATTTTAGGTTTGCCTTTAGCCGATCCAGCAGAACGTCCCAGTTCTCTACCTTCGAGAATCCTTAATCGTGCTTCAAGCTAGAAATATTTGCATGTAAGAAATTTGTTGCAGTTACTAAAAGACGCAGATAAAAGGACACGAGTGTCGTAAAGAGTGTACCTTGGCACGGCTCTCCAATCCTATAGAGCTATCCTGACTATCTCCAAGAGCATCACATCTAATTGCCAATGCAGTTTTTGCTGCAAGGGAACGAGAAATTTTTCCCTTGTGCTTCGGTGCTGCCTGACCAACCAGGGATGCGTGGTAGATAAGCCCATATTTGGGAGTGGCATGCTTTGTTTTAAGAGCTCTAAAGAGGGCCTTTTCCGCCCCAAGAATCTGGACTGTGCTCCCAGGCTGCTTTGCAAGATTTAACAAACTGCCACCATGGGCAATAAGGCGAGCACCAACAAGCTCCCCAACAAGAGCAGTCAAATTAGGTGCAACAGTGTTCATCCTGCTCTTTAGATAGTCATACAGTTGAGCCCTGTACTC